CAATGTTTCTTATATCATGTATGACTAAGTTGGTTAAAATAAGATAATATAATCATTTTGGTTGGAGTGTGACAAGGTCACTAGCAGCATGACTAGATGAATTGAGGTCCATGTTATAAGAATGTGATAGTTGATAATTGTACCGGAAAAGCATACAACAGACCCCTCGGTCATCACTAGAGTCGAATACCCCATTCGGCCTTAGCATAGGCCGAAGGGTAACCTAAGGGAACGTGAAAACTGAATACCCCATTCGGCCTTAGCACAGGCCAAAGGGTAACCTAAGGGAACACGAGAACCGAATACCCCATTCGACCCTAACTTAAGCCGAGGAGTAACCAAAGGAGATGAACCAGGATATCCTAATACACACTAACAGCGCTCGACCGAGAGCTATGTCGGATACCCCCTCGGCCGAGAGACCAACTAGAAGGGTACTCGACACCTCGAAAACAGGGCAGAAGCTATTAGAAGAAGAGATTAAATAGGTAACGTCCATAACAAATCAACATTAGGATTTAGAAGCCCTAATTACCCATCCTCTGATACAAAAGGCCCATCAGGCCCAAATATGTCACTATAAATATACCTCTAATGGGACAGAATTAGGTATGATCATTTAATACTGTAGCTTTTATCGCTCTGTACTGAATACTCACGTGAGCGTTGGAGTGCCTTTACAGGTACCTTCCCCACTACTTGGAGCAAAGACTCAATCAACACATTGAACTTGGAAGACTAGTCATCAAGAAAATCAATAGGAATATTTCTCACATGAACAATAAAATTGTGTAAAATTAGTTTAAACTTATTTCAACTTTGTTACAATCGCAATACTAACAATAAAAATTATTCTTAAAATAACTATTGGTATAGCTTCTCAATAATACCGGATATTTTTTATTAAGCTTTCTTCTCAATTTTAAATTTACATGCTATTAATCAATTGGTCTAATTTTCTAGCATAATGTTGAATTATTAGCTCAGTTAGTACTTTTCTTCAAATAAGATGATTTTAACTACAATATATTTTAAGAAATAATATTATTTTTTCTTTCTCGCTCCCAATTGATTTTTATTCAGACTCCTGAAGACATGTTTAGAAACCAATTCTTTTTTAAGAGATTTAAAAAATAATTAATTTTAATTGAATGACTAAGACTAGACCAGCCTTATACTTATCCAAATATGCATCAAATCAGTTCAGCAAATTGTGGAACTCACATGGCGTGGGACCCATTCTTTATTCGACTGCAAATCTGAAATCCTGTCTACGGTCCATGTTCAATTGTTCTTATTCAGAAAGAAAAATTAAAGTTTATAAGTTTCAAATGATCTTTTTAAAGAAAAATAATGTAACTAATATGATACAATATATATATATA